TATTGCAATATAAGAGAAAAATATTTTAAAAATAAAGTTAATTTTCTTAGTCAATGTTCGATTTAAAACTTATACAGAGTACGTATCCAGTATTAATTTGATTAACTGTGATCAATAGTTTATACAGCGATTTCTATTTTCTTCAGATTGTTTAACACAAGAGTTAACGCCCAGCATAGAAGAGAAACTAAAAAACTTAAAATTCATTTAGGATAATTAAAACTAGCATTTAATGCTCATAAATCGTCGAGGCCTTTGTGGAACTTATCTAAAATCTTGAAAGGTAAACACAAAAGTATTCCCGTAATTGGGGTCCAGGATGGATCTTTATTCACAGACCAGGGAAAGGCTGAAGGTTTTGCCGAGTTTTTTTCGACTCAACACCAGGAATCTTGCCGGTCTGGCAACCCAATCGATATTTTGGTTTCTGACTCCGTATACCGGGTGAACGAGTGGAACGTCACAACTTTCAAGCATATTACTCCCTCTGAAGTGAAAAATTTTTTAAAGAATTGCAAAAGCAAAAAATCCCCGGGTCCCAATGGCATAAATAACTTACTTTTGAAAAATTTGTCGCAGAAGGCAGTGGTTTATATAACTTATATTTTTAATGCTTGCCTGAAAAAAAGTTATTTCCCGAATTCATGGAAGGAAGCCAATGTTATATGTATTGCTAAGCCGGGCAAAAACAGCGCAGAACTGAGTGCATACAGACCCATCAGCCTTTTGGATTCGTTGGGCAAAATTTTTGAAAAATGTGTAAAGGATAGAATACAGGATTTCGTCTCTGACAAAAATGTGATTCAACCAGAAAAATGTGGCTTCATACCTGGCTATTCCACAAATCATCAACTCAAAAGAATTACTTCTATGATCGAGACTAATTTCCGGGCGGGGGAGTCTACTGGTACGTATGTTACTACTTGATATTAAAAACGCGTTCAACTCAGTGTGGCACAACGGATTAATACATAAGCTGTATATACGAGAATTTCCGGTGTACTTGATTAGGTTGGTACACAGCTTCCTGCAAAATAGAAACTTCAGGGTCATTGTGGTTAGGGCGAAGTCCGATTCTTACTTATTACTAAGTGGTATTCCACAAGGTTCCTGCCTGAATCTAATTTTATATAATATTTATATATCGGATATGCCTGTTCCTGAAAACTGCCAATTGGGACTGTACGCGGATGACACGGCCATTATTTATTCAGGTGTATCACCGATGGATATTGTATATAATCTGGAAAATGCTTTCGAAATAATAAATAATTACTTCAATGATTGGAAGATATTTATCAATACGTCTAAAACAGAATCAATATTTTTTTCAAGAAGGAGAAATCAACGTTATTTACCGTCAGTGGACATGGTCTTGGATGGACAAACTGTCCCGTGGAAGGATTCTGTGAGGTATCTGGATTTACACCTAGGTAGGAAGTTGAAATTCGATGTTCATATTGACAGAATTATCAATAAATGTGATGGTATTGTTAGGATAATTTACGCTTTAATATGTAGGAAGTCTAAATTATCATTGGAAAATAAAATGGTCATCTTTAAAACAATCTTTCAGAGTGTGATGTTGTATGGGGCGCCTGTTTGGGGTAATTGTGCTAGGTCTCATATGAATAAGTTGCAGGTGAAGCAAAATAAAATTTTGAAAATGATGTATGATCTTCCCTTTTATTTCTCGACTGAGGCTCTGCACAATAATGCGGGCGTTGGTAAAATCCTTGAAAAGGTTGATACTATAAACCAAAAATTTGTGGGTTTCAGTTAGGTATCTAATATTAAATCATTGTTCAAAATCATTAATCAAAATTATAAACTTATAAATAGATCTGTTCAAATGAACAAAGTTAGTTATTAAATATTTAGTTTAAGTTAGGGTGTAGGTTTTATCTTATAGATTATCAAGGTTTTTTTCAAATTTTCCTTGTACCTAATCTTTATCCTTTTTTGTAAAATCTAGTTTAATGTAATGTACATGTTATACATTTATGTTGCAAAGGATACTTTCCTAAATCTCATAAAAAAAAAAATCTGCTTTGTAATTGTTACGAGTACTAAAATTTGTTTTTGAAAATAAAGAAACTAACTTAATGCTCATAATATTACACCCTTCACAATTCTCACTTTTTTAAAAATTAAATAAATTTTTCAAAACCGTGAATGACCCTTTTTTTGAACAACGTCGCTAATCTGTTTTATAATTACAACAGCTACTCGAAGAAACAACAACTAGAATAATTGGTTCATGAATTCCTTCGATTTTCGATAACTTTACATAAAATTTGAAGCCTTCTGCCAATGAAATTGTAATAAATAAGTAAAACAGGAAAGGAAAGGAAAGGAAATTTCTAATTTCAGTGAACAAGAATCTGTGAGTATCATTATTCATTCATTTTGTTTTATTTTTAAATTTCATCAATTATTATTAAATTTAAACAAATGATTTTTTCTCTATAATTGAAAACTTAATTTTAAAATTTTGAATTTCTTTTAAATTTACTTTTTTTATTACATAAGAACTTCGAGAATATCTCTGACCAACAATTGGGCACATGACTGCCAAATCTCATGAACCTAATTTTAATTTTTTTCCGAAAATTTAAAATTAATTTTTGCAGTAGTATGGCAGCTACCCGAACTTCTCAAGTAATTCTGAACAAGCACCAAAGATATGTGTGGCATATAATTGGAAAGGCGACTGCCAAATCTCATGGATCCTAGCTTTGTTATTTTTCAAAAATATTTAAAATCATTTTTTGTAGTTTTGTGACAGCTGCACGAACCACTTAAATAGTTAAAAAAAAAATTCAAAGAAATCACACCTACCCGAACATGTCATGCCAAATTTCCAATCCAAAAAAGCTTCAAGGATATGATCCGTAATTGGATCCGAGACTGCCAAATCTCAAGGAGCTAGCTTTAATATTTTTCCGAATATTTAAAGTTAACTTTTGGATTTGTATGGCAGCAACCCGAACCTCCCAAATAATTCAAAAAAAACTTCGGAAATATATGTATGTGACCTACAATTGAACACGTAACTGCCAAATCTTTTGGGATAGCTAAAATTAGTTAGGATTTGTCATTTGACTTATCATTGGACACATGGCTGCAAAATCTTACGAACCTCACTTTGCTATTTTTGCGAATATTCAAATTTAGCTTTTGGAGTTGTATAGCAGCTACCCAACCTCCAAAATATTTCCAAAAAAACTTCCAGGATATGTGTGATCTACAATTGAACACATGACTGCCAAATCTCATGAAGCTAACTTTATTATTTTTCAGAATAATTAAAATTAGCTTTTGTAGTTGTATGGCAGCTAGCCGAACTTCCTCAATTATTAAAAAAAATTTAAAGATAATCAAGATCTATAATTGGGCACATGACTACCAATTCTCACGAACCACATTTTACTTTTTTTGCGAATATTTAAAATTAATTTTTTCAGTTGTAAGGCAGTTACCTGAACCTATCAAATGATTCACTATTTTCACTATTTTAATTTTTTTACACACACATTTTTTTTCACAATTTAAATTTGTATTAAAAAAATTTAATAAATCTTTAATGTTCTTTAAATAGAATTTTTCAAATGGAATAAAATTTAAAATAAAATTTTGAAGTTTATAAAAAAATTTAAAAACCTATTAAACTATTTTCTTTTTTCCTCCTTTGTTAAAAATTTTTAATATTAATTTATAGTGTACATAAAAATTATAAACGAGAATGAAAGGGTCTGAAGTTCTATGCAACCGTCCTAATTGTTTACAAAGTTTTCACTTAATTTGTCTAAAATATTGACCATATTTCAAATTGCGCTATTTCTGAGATTAAGGGCCTGATCGTCTATCTCGCTATTTTACTCGGAAAGTGAGTAACTATCATGTACTTACATACATATATAATATAACTTTCGAGTGAGAAGAATTATTCCGATTGCGTATCTCGTTTTTTTTAAACTGTGTACAAAAGTCTTTCACTTTTGTTTTTGAAAGTGAAACATTCAGTCGAAAATTGAAAAAAAATGCAAAAATCTAATTAAAAAAGGAGTAATCTTATTCGAAAATTAAAACGTCCATTAGAAAATACTGGGAATTCTGATTTGAAAGTGAATAAAAAGTGAATAAAGAAGCGAGATACTGCAAATAAAACTAAATTTCGATGGATGATCTTTTCTTTTCTTACATTTTTAAAACAACAGAATTTCTTTTCACGACATCCCAAGCACATAAGAAAAACTTCACCTTTTTAATATTAAAGAAAGATTTGTTTATAAAATACTGAAAAGTGAAGTTTCTTTCATCCACCACTCATGATAGCTACATACATTTCATATGAATATATTTACTCATTTCGCATTTAATCTACAGGTATTTTGTCCAAATTTGTTTAAAATGCTACAATGAATTCTGTAAAGTCAATATTTACAATTTCTCTCCAAAATTAAATTCTAAATTATGGTTGACTTCCTACAAAACTATGGTTTAGATCGCTTGACAGACTTGACGATCACTTTCCATAAAAATATCACTTAGACATTTAATTTTAATTGTGATGAATGATATTTTTGTGGGAAGTGAACTTTAAGTCTGTCAAGCGATCTAAACCATTTTGAGACATTTACATTTGTTTGGATTTTAAGAAATTTTTAGAATACAAAAAGGATATTTCTTCGATTTAGAAATTATAATTTCTTTATTTGGTTTTTGTACCTACTTGAATATTTTTATAAAACTTTTAATTTTCTGTATATTTTTTTAACAAACTGAAAAGTGGGAATTTTTCGTCCAAAAAACGAAAAGTAGAATTTAAAAAAGTTTAAAACAAAAATGATCATTTGTTTTTGTATGACTTTCGAAATCGATATAGTTATTTCTGGTTCAACAATCGAAAATATGGTAGCGTTCGCGTAGTATGTATGATGACATCTATCTATTGTCATTAAAGCTTGACATAACAAAAATATAAGAAGTATTTTTGTCCGCCGTGCTTAGAGCAATAGAAGTGTAATATAACGCAGTTATTGTATGTATTTTCATTAGAATTTTGTAACAAACTTATAAGTTAATTATAATAGTATAGTTAGTATAGAAGTAAAATAATTATAATAGTATAGTTAGTAATGTGTTAAAATTTTTGATTTTAGTGAAAATGGTTTATTTGGAAAATAGTTATCGCGATTTCAAAATGGTAGATGAAACAGAAACTTCAATAATTTCCGTAAGCTATGGGGAAGTGTTTATTACTGAAGATAAGCCTTTAAAATGGTGGATCTCATGCAACAATTGTGAAAGTAAATACGACGATTTAGATAATTTTTTGAATCATGCTACTAAAGTGCATCTAGAAAAACAAACGAACATTCTTACAACTGAAAATGAAAGTTTTCAATGTGATGAAAGGCAAAATAAAAGCATTGAGGATGAAAATATTACTTATCAACTATTTTTAACTGACCATGAAAGTTATAAAGCGAATAGTGAAGGAAAACTAGATACAGAGAGTAAAACTGAAAATGAAATTGTAATGGAAGATAAGGAAATAAATGAATCGGAACTTAATATTGATACAAGATCTAATAGCTCAGATAATAAATTGGGAAATTCAAACTCGAAAACTAAAGCAAATTCTAATGCAAAACGGGAAATATATCCATGCCCGCATTGTGATAAAACATATACCGGAAAAAGGGCTCAAGGGGACCATATCAAATCTCATTTTCAATTACAGGAAATATTTAAATGTGAAGTGTGCGGTGTTACTACAACGAGAAAGCATTATTTAAAAATACATATGCGAATTCATACTGGAGAAAAGTTTGTAAATTCATCTAAATTTAAATATTTAATAAAACAATCAATAAAAATAATTTCAGACCTTTTAAGTGCACCGTTTGTCCTAAAGCTTTCACCGCACAAAATAATCTTACAGTTCATATGATGACGCATACTGGAGAAAAAAAATTTTCTTGTTCGTTTTGTGGTATATTTTGTGACTTTTATAAAGTGCTATGATTTGATAAAACATGTTATAATTATAGAGAAACCATTTCGTACCAAAGCAGCTTGTGATATACATCAAAGAACACATACTGGTTAGTACTTGAGCTATCATACTCGAAGTATTCAATGCTGTTGTAAAATCTGCAACCGTTTATATGAGAATTGTTTTTTTTTTTTTTTTTCAAAATATGATCTTTCAATACAATTGTTTTAAACTTTGATAATGTTCCTATAGAAATATTCGAATTTTCCACAATAGAAAATTCATGCATATGTGACTAGATGGAAAAGATTAATTTCATGTAATTTAATGTATTCTTACTTTTAAGGTAGGTAGGTAGGCAGCCACTTAGCTTTAAAAATCCTTGATGAAGTATGAAAACGATGAACGTAAGAGTATTTTAGATATTGGAATGAAAATTCAGTTCTGATTCCAATAAACATAGCAGTAGCAATAATGATTGAAGTATTTTCACAAATAAAATCTTTTTTGTAGGTGAAAAACCATTTCAATGTGATGCATGCGGGAAAAATGTAGCAAGTGCTTGCACTTTAGCGGTTCACAAAAAATCATGCCATAAAAAGTCTCTTGAAAAGTCTAATGTAATTAAGGAAAAATTCTGCCAATTTGATAGTATGAGGACTATTAAAAAAAAAACAAAAAGGAAATCAGGTAAACAAGATTTTGGTAAGATTTTAATAAGATAAATATATTTTTGGTAAGACGGATATATGTATGTTACTGAAAATTTTAATGTTACATTAAAAATCAGTTATTTTCGACCATTAATAATACGTACATACATACATATGTATGTCTATTTCAATATGACAAAAATTAACCTAGATCGGATACTATTTTTTTGTTTACATAATTATAAATGTTTGCAAAAATGACGTTTTATGTTTGAAATATGAGCTAGTTTTTTTGATAGTGGTATAAGTATACATTTTAAAAATTAAGTTAATGGTGATTTTGATGAGCTATAGACACCTTATCTCCACAGTTACAATCGCAATTTCAATAGAGTTCTGCTTAAAAATAAAACACACAAATATATTATTATGGTCAATATGTTTAAATTGATTCAAATGCAAAACCTTAAATATCTCAATATATGCCAAAAAGGACTTATACAACTTTCAAAAAAAACAGCTCATGTTAACATTTTTTGAAATAATATTTGAAATGTTAAGATGAAGACACGCAAAAAATTCAAACATATGTAACTCGAAATTTTAGTAATTAACTTCAATTTTTTTTATAAGCTGTTTTTGTGCATTGGGAGATTTATTATATACTTATATTATAATAGGATAAAGCAAAGTTTTCTAAAACTATAGAACTTGAAAAACTTTATAAAGTTTTTGTATGCGTCTGATGCAAAGCGTCTGATATAATACTTTTTGAACAAAAAAGAGAGGAAATTATAACGTAAGCATTTTTTAAATAATGTTTAAAGTTTTTTGAAGTGTCAGAATGAGGGTGTATTTTGGGTTTGTAAAATTTTAAATGACCCTTTGGAAGTCTGAAATACATATACCGCGACTTCAATAATGCGCTCACGACGTAAATTTTACAAAGTATCAAGTTCCGAAAAGTTTAGAAAAAGCTCTTGACATTGGTACACTTTTCCTAAATACGTTTTATACGTAGTGGAGACGTAAAATAAAAGTAAATCGGGTATCGAAAAAATCGAGCACGCTTTTCTTATATCTTGTCATATAAATGTTGCCAGAAATAACCGATAAAATAAACTAGCATATATTTTCAGCAATAAAGTTCTAGTTATCATTTTTTTTTTCCTAAAATGCAGCATAAAAATGCTATGTTTTTGATGATGTGGTTTATAAAAATTAACATTAATTGCACAGAACTTTAAATTGAAATTTTCAAATAAAAGTCAAAGTTGTATTGATTTGGTAAAAATTATTCCAAAATGTACGACAAGCTTTAGTAGTTTTTTTTACAATGTAAAGGTATTGAAAGCTCTGAGGTGGTACTACAACCGTATTAATACAGTACTTAAATCTTTTTTAAAGCATTATTGAAGTCGCGGAAATTGTGTACAAAAACTTTCACCATTTAATCAGATATTAGGTATAGAATTGTTAGAAAACAAGTCCCAATGCTCAGAGAGCACGATCTTGAAACTTTCAAACTTGAAAGCACGATCTTATTTTATATGGGTTTTTTTTAAATCGAAGTGGCTATTTTTTGAGAAGAAATATTAAAATAAATTCACGCTTATTATAAAGCAGGTAAAATTTCGAAAATATATTTGAAAAATCAAGAAAATATATTAATATTTTCATTCATAATTATTTTAAAATTCTTAAAACAGCGGAAAAACAACAAGCACAACCTTCGCCTTCAACGTTTTATATGTTACTGAAAGCATTTCATTATTTTTAAGTGAACAGCTTTTTTTTCTCATAGGGTAAGTTAACTCAAGATATGGGAAGTATAATATGAAAAAATGTGTATAATATGAATACATAGTAAAGAAAAAATTTGAAGAGGGAATTAGAATATAATATCTAAAATACAATCAAATATTATTTTTTAAATACAAATTTTGTATACACTTCTAAATTTTACCTCTATTTTTCAGAAAAATTTTTAAAACTTAATGTATTACCTAGGTAAAAAATTACTTAAAAGGTTTTGGAAAAGACAATAGTGTATTGTTATAACCGGATTCGAATATCTTTTTTATTTTTTAAATAAATAGTATCTTAGCAAATGACTCAAAAACTCCGATTGTAAAATGACAGGTAGTAGGTATTGATATCCGTAAATTTTTGTCCGTTTGCGTTTACTATTAAGATTCATACACAGGCAGGGCCATTTTATAAATAGATTGCTCTTGTTTACCTGTTCATAAAATATGAAAGAAGAGCACAACAAAATTTTTGAAGCACTCAATATATCATGTTTGAAATAGTTTTAAAATAATTATTTAAAAAAAAAATTGATTGGAAGTAGGTACATACATAAACTTAAAAACTAACTGAAATTATTTGAAACAATTTTATAAGTAACGTATAAATAACCGAAATGAGATAATTCAAATTGTTGAAATGTGTCAACCTATGTTACTTTTACTAACATTTTTGTTAGCCGACACTACTCAACTTACCTTATTGGAAAATACAAAATGTGCATGAAAAATCATACATCCTTCCTCATTAACATTTGAAACCATACTGAAATATGAATTTCAAATTTTTTATCATTTTTTCTTTCCTCCTACCTTTCTTTCTTTTTCGTGCAATAGAATTTAAATGGGAAGCTTTTTAAAAAATGTGTATAATATCCTGAGATTTTTTAAAATATTAAACTCTTTTTAAAGCAAAAAAAAAGAAAAAAATAATAAGAAATATGACACGATCAGTAGCATTTAAAGAAAAAAACAGCAACGAAGCCAAAAATTCGTAATATTTCGTAAAAAAAATTGAGTATTGGGACTTGTTAGATGTAAAGACATTAGTTATACCTAAATTGATCCGACATTCGCATGTAAAAAATCGTTTATGTATTTTAAATAACATAAATTTCGAAGATCACACAGCAATCGTAACAGATACGGATTGGAAACAGAATATTTTAAGTTTCAATTGTTTTTAAAATTTTATAAAACAAATATTTTATAAGACAAATATAATATTTAACCGCGTTGTTCAATTCGATTTTTTGCAATTGTTATATGGAATAAACGATATTTGGGTAGGGTATAGGATAAAAATTTTCAGAAAATGATCATAAAAACAGCTGTAAAATACAGACAAAATTTGATTTGAATAAAATAAAAAATCATTTTTATTGCAGAAGAACATCTATTGAACAAGAAATTTACTCATAAAAAGAAAGAAAAAAAATTTATATGTCAATTTTGCTCTAAAAGTTTTGGTATGTTTTTAACTTAAAATATTTTATTACAAATTTTAGTATCAGCTTTTAAATTTTAGATGAAAAAGGATTAAAAATGCACGCAAGAGTTCACGCGGAAACCAAGGATTACATGTGTAATATATGTAGGGAATATTTTCGAACGTATCATAGCATGACGTATCATCTGAAAAGCAGACATGGCTGTTTATCTATGCCAAATATCAATTACACATTGAAAGCAAGGAGTGATTAAAACGTTGTACAGTCCTTTTGTCTGCATTCGATTTCCAAAAGTTCAAACTTCAAACGTTGAAATTCTCATGCTATTGTATGATATTATTTTTCATATTTGAAAATCTGTCAAACTAGCATAATGAACTTTTAAGTTAATCTATGAAAAAGTAAAAATCAAAATATTTTGACAATCTCAAAAATAAAAAAAAAACAAATAAACCGTGACTTCAATAATGTGCTTACGATGTCAATTTTACAAAGTATCATATTCCAAAAAGTATAGCAAAAGCTCTTGACATTGTACACTTTTCCTAAATGCGTTTTATGCGTAGTGGAGATGTAAAATAAAAATAAATCGGGTATCGAAAAAATCGAACACGCTTTTCTTATACCTTGTCATATAAATGTTGCCAGAAATAACCGATAAAATAAACTAGCATATATTTATAGCAATAAAGTTCTAGTTATCAAGTTTATTTTTCCTAAAATGCAGCATAAAAATGCTATGTTTTAATAATGTAACGTTTTATAAAAATGAGCGTTTGCACAGAACTTTAAATTGAGATTTTCAAATAAACGTCAAAGTTGTATTGGTATGGTAAAAATTATATTCCAAAATGTACGAAAAGCTTTATTACCAATTAAATAAACTGGCATATATTTTCAATAAAGTGCTAGTTATTAAGTTTTTTTTCTTAAAATAGCATGTAAAAATCCTATGTTTTTAATGATGTGGTACCGTTTGTTGAAAATTAACGAGCCTTATTCTAGTTGTCGCGTCACTTACGTGACATTTGTCGTTGTCGCTGTCACGTCACTTGAAATGTGGTATTCTAGTTGTCGAGTGACGTGACTGCGAGAAATAAACGAAAATGAAACGTTTCAAGTGAAATTGATACATTTTAAAAAGAAATTTTGGCGAGTAAAGTTCAAACTAAAAAAAAAAATTCGGTGTATATATTTATATTTTTAATCCGAGGGAAATAAAAAATGTAATTTGCATTATGGTTTATGGATTCATCAGACTCCGAGAGTAATGAAATTGAAAAAAAAACAACAATTAAGGATCAAAAGATTTAAGATTAGGGACAGCTCTATTGGATTTGCCAAATGGAGTGTTATTTACATTTACATTTACATTATAACCGGATGGGTTATCATAGCTTAAACGTTATGTTGGTATGTATAACATTGCTTGTTAAATATTTGTAAATATTTTAATATAATGTGACTTAAAGGTTTGCGATCATAAAATGCGCATCAGGTATGTGGATACTAATAATCCGGGATCATCTCATGATTCCTTTATTGAAAATTACCTGAAATTTACATAAATTAATTAAATTTTAAATTAAACTTATGTTAAAATTACCTTCTGCCATCCTGCAGTACTTCTAATGGGCGGACCCAAGCTATTAAGCTTTTCTGTTAGCTGGTTCCATTTTGCATCAAACTCGAATTTGCTTATGCGGCTATTCTCAGCAAATTTAAGGCCTTTCGCAATAAAGGCGTTCTCCGTCGTAAAATTTCCCAATTCTTCAAATTGCTTCCTTGTTGTTACTTTTAAGCTAAAAATAAAAATTAAATTATATATTATATGGTTTAATTTATGTATTAAATTACAAAATTTATTATTTTTTATATTTTTATTATATTTTTATTAAATTGTTTTGTTTAAACTTACATTTTTGGTGTATCCATCTCGCTTGTCACTTGTTAAATACATTTCGACAAAAAACGTCGTTTCACTACGACATGTGTCGCTCTACAACGACAACTGGAATATACCTGAAACACATTTTCCCGCTATTCCACGACACGTGTCACTGTAATCGCCATTTAGAATATCAAATTCAAGTCGTGACGACAATTGTCGCTCTACTTCGACAACTAGAATAGGGCTCAACATTTGCACAAAACTTTAAATTGAAATTTTCACACGCGTCAATGTATCCGTGACTTCAATAATGTGCTTACGGCGTAAACTTTATAAAGCATAACATTCCAAAAAGTATAGCAAAAGCTCTTGACATTGTACACTTTTCCAAAATGCGTTCTATACGTAGTGGATACGTAAAATAAACGTGAATCGGGTATCGAAAAAATCGAGCACGCTTTTCTTATATCTTGCCATATAAATGTTGCCAGAAATAACCGATAAAATAAACTAGCATATATTTATAGCAATAAAGTTCTAGTTATCAATTTTTTTTTCCTAAAATGCAGCATAAAAATGCTATGTTTTTAATGATGTGGTAACGGTTTATAAAAATTAACATTAATTGCACAGAACTTTAAATTGAAATTTTCAAATCAAACATCAAAGTTGTATTGATTTGGTAAAAATTATTCCAAAATGTACGGCAAGCTTTAGTAGCTCTGAGGTGGTACTACAACCGTATTAAAAAAGTGCTTAAATCTTTTTTAAAGCATTATTGAAGTCACGGAAATTGTGTACAAAAACTTTCACCAGTTTATCAGATATTAGGTATAGAATTGTTTATTTAAGTGTTATACTAATCAACTGTCTAACAAGTCCCAATGCTCAGAGAGAAACTTGAAAGCACGACCTTATTTTATATGGGTTTTTTTTTAAATCGAAGTGGCTATTTTTTGAGAAGAAATATTAAAATAAATTCACACTTATTATAAAGCAGGTAAAATTTCGAAAATATATTTGAAAAATCAAGAAAATATATTAATATTTTCATTCATAATTATTTTAAAATTCTTAAAACAGCGGAAAAACAACAAGCACAACCTTCGCCTTCAACGTTTTATATGTTACTGAAAGCATTTCATTATTTTTAAGTGAACAGCTTTTTTTTCTCATAGGGTAAGTTAACTCAAGATATGGGAAGTAACTGTGGTGTCAAGTTGAAAATATAATTAATGAAAGATAATTATTAAATATTGATACGAATACACAGTAAAGAAAAAATTTGAAGAGGGAATTAGAAAATAATATCTAAAATACAATCAAATATTATTTTTTAAATACAAATTTTGTATACACTTCTAAATTTTACCTCTATTTTTCAGAAAATTTTTTAAAACTTAATGTATTACCTAGGTAAAAAATTATTTAAAAGGTTTTGGAAAAGCCAATAGTGTATTGCTATAACCGGATTCGAATATCTTTTTTATTTTTGAAATAAATGGTATTTTACCAAATGACTCAAAAACTTCGATTGTAAAATGACAGGTAGTAGGTATTGATATCCGTAAATTTTTGTCCGTTTGAGTTTATTAAGATTCATACACAGGCAGGGCCATTTTATAAATAGATTGCTCTTGTTTACCTGCTCATAAAATATGAAAGAAGAGCACAACAAAATTTTTGAAGCACTCAATATATCATGTTTGAAATAGTTTTAAAATAATTATTTAAAAAAAAAATTGGTTGAAAGTAGGTACATACATAAACTTAAAAACTAACTGAAATTATTTGAAACAATTTTATAAGTAACGTATAAATAACCGAAATGAGATAATTCAAATTGTTGAAATGTGTCAACCTATGTTACTTTTACTAACATTTTTGTTAGCCGACACTACTCAACTTTGCATGTAAACTAGCGTTTATCGTATTATGAAAAATTTATTTTAGGGATTTCCCGATAGATTTTATCGGCTAATTTTAAGTATACGATAGCACACTATAGTGATTTTACAAGTCGTTTTTCAGTAATTAAAATAAAAAAAATGTAAGTATTATTATTAACAAAACTGAGATCTATCATTTAAGACAAATTTAATTTTGTATTTTTAGAAACAGAATTGTAATCTACAGCAGCTATGACATTAGGAATCCCTGATTTTTCATAAAAATTTTGCTCTTCTTTCTTCATCTTCAGTATAACAAAATTTTATTACTTTAGGGCAAATATATTTTCCTATGATATTCCAAAATTTCTGCTACAATAACCGAAACTGTTGGCTGAGCTAATTCCAGGTTGAAATCATTGCCAACACCTAGCTGATAACTACCTTGGGCGAAAAAGTTAAAAGCAGCTGCTAACTTTATGATGTTTGGCACAGCACTTTTTGTGTTTTTACCTTTTATTTTATTGTCAATTTCACTAATTAAATATCTAAATAAATCTTTTGATATTCTAAAATTTGTAATGAATCCAAAAAATAAACAAATTTTAAACTCTTTGTTACATACATATATGTAAGTATACATACAACCCATTATTCATTTCCAATGAATTTGAAGAATCTATAATCTTTCTCCGTGCGATTCTTTCTTCTTGATGTCGTCCTTCTTCATCGTCTTCAAAAAAAATTCCGCTGACAACATTGTATAATTATTTTATTTAAAACAAAACTTATCTGTCGCAAACTTTTTCTTTATTTTCAAATTTTCCATATGAGTGTATCATATGAATTTAAAATCTTTGAATCTGTCAAACAAAATAGTATACACATCATTAAAGCTTTTTGTATTTTATCGTTTTCCATTAACTTATCGGTTTTGTCGGTTATCGGTTCATAATAGTACGGAAAAACGATAACGATACGATATTGTTATCGCATATCGTATATCGGATTTTTTCATAATAATATTGCAAAAATTGTATTCCAAAATGTATCAAAAGCTGTAGCAGTTTTTTTACAATGTAAAGGTATTGAAAGCTCTGAGACTTGAAATTTCCTTGAAATTTAATATTTAAATTTGGAGTTTTAAAACAATGTACATATAAATTTTTTGGAGCGATCAGAGCTTGGAAACCAAACTGAGAGCCGATTTTACGTTTTTTACCATATCTACGGAACGGATTCATGGAATTTCTTGAAATTTGATATTTGAGCTCTGATTGTTATCGTAACTAATTAGCGAGCTTTTCAGGAAATTCGGATGACACAAAGCGAAACTCTACTAAGAGCCAAATTTGCATTTTTCAAAGCTTACCAACGCCCTAAAAATTGGAAAAAAGTGTTTAAAAAGCATTTCTCTAATCTTTTACATAGCTAGACAATATACATTGCGGTCGGTTATGTGCTGATCACATCAGATTTTTTTAAAATTTCTATAAATGCTACACTATAAGAACAAAAAACGTTCTTTCAAAAAATATTTTTTGTGAAGTATTGAGTTGACTTTTGTGAATTTTTCAAATTTGAGAAAAAGAAAATGTACAATTGATATTAAAAAGTTTGCTAATTATGTATGATATGACTCTCACAGTCCCACGAATGCATATTTCTTGTATATTATTTGTATATCTATATATTTTTCATGGGTATAAATAATATAAGTCTCTAAGGATATACAGATGTTAAGTCTGACATATGTACATATACATATGTCAGACTTAACCGCAGATGAAAGGAAATACAAGGTCAAATACCCGCGGGTGGTATTTGATTCCAAGCTTCTTGGGCGAAGTTACGAAGAGGCTGCATGTGTGCGGGCCTCGCGGGCCTCTCGGGCCCCCTGTACCTTGTTGTTGGGATGCCATTCTGAGGTTGAGGGGGAATGGACTTGATGTTATTAGGGCAGGGGATCGGCATCATCTTCTCCGAGTTACCCGGGGGAGATTTCGTTCCTGGTAAGAACGTGCAGCTTTGAGAAAAGATTTCGTTGCTTGGCAACAGGAAGAGTTGAGATCCCGAATTTTTTCAGTTGCCCGGTGGGATCTTACACCATCAGGTGCTACACTGATGAGTAAAAGACTCGCGTGGGAGGGGGGTTGAAATGTTTGGGCCAAGAACCAAATTCTTCGAACCCATGGGAGTTTTTCAAGCGTGTTTCAGGCTGAGCTGCACGCCATGGAAGAGGTGGCATGGGGGACAGGACGTAGTGATTATATCGGATAGACCGATTGCCATCGGAGCGCTGAATTTTTTTTCAATATCTTCCGCGGCAGTATGGGGCCGTCTTGAGAAGCTCAATGAATTGGGTAGGCACAATCGGGTCACTTTGTGCTGGGCGCCAGACCATGTAGGCGTGGAAAGAGATGAGGAGAAAGGAGATTATGTCCAGAAGCGTTTTAAGAAAATTATAAGAATGAGCAAGCATCAGGTAAGAATCTTCACCGGGGCCTTGTCATATCACTTTAGACTTAAGGGGCACCTCAACAGGCTGGGGCTGGAAAGAGAAGATACTTGCAGGTTCTGCGGGGAAGATTTAATACACCTTCTGGGAGAGTGCGTTTCTATAATACTAGGGGACTTTACTATTTATTTTCTTTCAAATTTTTCTGGTTTTTTACCTAATTTTTTACCATATTTTTATTCTAATTAGAATATTCAGAAAATTTAGGTTTACTTAACTGGTCTACTGTTTTGTTATTGCCAGTCTAAAATTAATATTTCTATTGCCTATTTCATTAGTACCGGTGTTAATTTCAACACAGCTGATTGTCACAATTTATTTGCTAAAAGTTTTCCATTATTAAAGGTTATTAAATTTTAACGCACAAAAAGTAAAATCTACAGGAACTTAAACATTAAATTGAAATAGGAATCGTAAATTTATTCAGTTGTATTGAAAAATATGGAAGTGTAAGTGATGCAATTACGGGGAAAATTACAAAAACTTAATACGTACTAATGGATGTTTGCTTATGTAAAATTACACTACTCAAACCAACCTTAATATTGAATTAAAAATGTCGGCAACGTTATCTCTTGTTAATAAAAAGGTTACATTGAATAGTTCCGTGAAAGTACAGTATATTCCTGCAGCAATACATGAATACAGAGGAATTGGAAGATATAGTATCAAATTCTTTGCGTGGTTATCCAATGAAGGGAGAAAAAATGAATTTGGACAGCAGATTTGTTGGAATTTGTACAAGAAATAGTATGAGAATATCAGTTGAAAATGAGTCAAAAGCTTTGAAAGCATTTGGCAGTTTCAATTGGAATTATGATGCAATTCCCTCTAAATCTGATCCATTTAAGCAAGCACTGCAAATGTCCGATGTATTAGATAACATTTTAGATATAACGGCGTCTGATATAAAAGAGGAAATAAAGAAACACTCTTGAATGATATAAACTTAATAAATTTATGCAAATTATTTTTCAGTAAATTTTTTTACAAACTTTAACTGGTTTTTTTTTCATTTTTAGAGTTGATGCTCGTTATTCTGCATTGACAAATTTCGAAGTTTTGGAAATTTTAAGAAATATGAAAGATATAAAGAAAAAGCCGGGGTTGAGAAATTTGGCAACGATAACTTATGAGGTTGTATATTTATACAAATAAAGTATGTAATTTTCATTAGTATATGTACATTTTCAGACTCTGCAGTTTTTGGAAGAATCTCCCTGTAAAAATCAAACAAAAGAAGGCATACAAGCTTTTCTTTCTAAAATTAAACAATTTAAATTTACAAGAAATGAGTGTTTAATGTTGATTAATGATCCACCAATAAGTCCTTTACACATTCAATTGGTAATAACCTACATTGAAGTTTTATTTTTATAAAAATATTTTTATATTTTTCTAAGCTTATTGAGGATAGTGAAGAACGTTTGACAGAAGAGCAAGTAAGCAAAGTATTGGAAATAGTAGCAAATCACTTAATACCAAATGAATAAAATAAAAGTAAATCGTTTTATATTTTGCAATTAAATCATTTTTTATGTGGGATAATTGTTAAAAATTACAAAATTATCAACGTTTTTGATCTCCCAAATCTTCTATGAAATCTTCTTCATTTCTCTGGAATAACTTCGAAGACATCATCCTTAACATCTCCTTGAATAACGATTCCATCTTTTCCTGTAACCGAGGAACCACAAGCAAATTTTGTACCAAAAAATTTTGCTGCCATTTACAAATCAATTCTTAAACGGACAAAAATTTACAATTTGATATATGGGTTAGTTTTGATAATGAACATATTACCAAATGTATTTAATCCTGTTACAACTGTTACAGATTTTTTCTTTGCTCTAGGAGCACGACACAAACATATTTTTTTTTAACCTTCATCTTTTTTCTTTGTCTTCATCATGCCTTTCCCGCCCCACTTTTGCCTTTTTTTGTCTTCTTCACCACCGGCACCGTCGGCACCATCATCTATTTTAACCTTTTCGAAATGGCTTGGAAGAATTTTTCTAACCATTACTTACATTTTTCGTAGTCTGGATAATATTTACAATACTAAGAAAAAAAAATGCAATGTTATTGAATTTATTTTTATTAAATGTTAAAAAAATATATTACTTCGATTGGCATTGAACAGTTACCGCAGTATTGCACTATTAGTGGATAAACTACGCCTTTCCTTGGTCCTATTTTCAAACGCATATCGATCTGTCATTTTACGAAATTTTGTTTTAAAACTACCTAAGTTCTGTTCTGTAATCTGTTTTGGTTGGAAAAACTAAATGTTTTCTGTTTGCATGTATAGTAAAATTTCCAAAGTTGCAATTAACTTATTTTAAAATGTAGTAAAATGTAAATATCTAATGTTATGTAAATGTTAACAATAACATAACTTTTCAAAAAAATTAAATAATTTTTGAAGAAAAAAGAACATGTTCGCGAGATAAAGATATATTATTTATATGTAAGTAAGATATTTAAGTAAAAATTGAAATCTGTCTTGTAAAGGAAGCTTGCAAATATTATTATAAAAAAAGGAAACTAGTATTAGATATGGGGATTATACTAATTTTAACAAGAAAAAAACAATTGAAATTTCTTTTACTGCTTTATTTTATTTGGAATTATGGTAAATAAACTTGTTGCAAGTTATGCTTCATGAAATGATATCGCCAGAATATTTAGTACTCGTATTACCTAAAATTAAAATAAGTTAATCTTAACACATGGCTTTAAATAAAACAACAAATTAGACGCATGATTATGTAGAGTACGGAAAATTGAAGTGAATAAGACAAAGAAATGTCTGCATGCAAAATCTCCTAAATTGTTGTTTTGCTAAAAATAAAGTAGAGTTCATAAAGTTGCTTCGTTAAGAACTTTGGGTTTATTGCAGCATAGCATTAATTTTGAATATGAAAATTTGAGAAAGTTAGCAAATGTGCTACGTATGTAGCAGATCTTCAGCACTCTTGGCAGCTGTCATACCTGACAACGCCGTCTATGTTAAGGGTCTCTTAAAATTTTCTTCATACAGGCCTGGACCCTAAGAGAGGAGTGACAGTTAACAGCTGACGAATTTACACGCATTCTTATGGGATCTATAGAAGGCCCTTTTTAGCATCATAAATCTCCCACAAGATCAACTTTTTTGAAATTTTCAATCTTTTTCTACTTTGCTAGTGCTTACATTCTTAACATTTTGTGTTATAAAAACATTAAAAAATTGATTTAAAAAAAGCTTTCTAGACTCTGTTCGTTTTTTAAAAATTTTGTTAAAATGCTACACTACAGGCAAAAAAAAACAGGAAATTTTTTTTGTTAAAATTTGAGCAGATTTTTTAGGTTTTCCTCAATTTTAAAAATTGAACATTTGACATAAATAAATACAATAAAATAAATATATAATTGTAAATAAGTAATTATCCCCCTTTCTACACCACCTTGCAAAGGTGGTATCCCTAGTAGGTCTAATCCATTCATTTACTTAAAATTAAAGCATATTAGTAAAATTTCAGTATTTTTTATTATATTTCAGTATTATTTATTAGTAAAATAAACTGTGTCATACATCAGATAAATTTGTTGTTTTCCATTAGGATTGCGAAATTTATTTTCATTATTGACTCCCAAAACCCTAACATACCCTGATTGATTTTGTTGTTGTCTCTTGTTGCCTTTCTCTTGAACTAAATTACAACTTTGTTCGTGATTTCCACTAAATAATCTGCGGTGGGAAGAACTACTGGAAATAACTTTATAATTTCCTTTGAACTACCAAAAACCGACTTTATCATGAAAGCCATAATGGTTTTGGCAGGTTTAGATTGATCATTATGAGCTACTCCTGAAATATTATTTGCTTTATATTGTAGACTAGGACTATCATAAATCTCATCTATCAATAGTGCTACAAATTTTTCCCATTCTGTCAAAGACTGCGAAGCTGCTGCTATATAACCTTCATCATTTCCCTCATTTTCGTAATCACTGGTAATATGTAGTCTGGAAGATAAACGTCGAAGATGTTGACTAGATGGTAAAGAAAGGAAATTTCTAAGGATTTCATATGTAGATTTGGAATGAGCGTATATTAAAAATCACATAATAATGGATTGAATATATTTTAGAGCCTTCATACTTAATAAATGAAAGTTTTTTAAAAATTTTCTTCTAAATTTCGTACTTTTTTTAAATTTCCCAGAAGATGCAAAGCTTCATTAAGATAATTGGCATCAGAACTATAAGCGCACAAAAAAGGTAATATTTTTTTTAGTTGAGTCCAATAATCAAATTTCATATCTCCTGATAAAATATTTTCTAATTTAATGGCTGGTACTTCATTATTTCCCGAAAAGCAACTTACTATTAAATCGCAATTAATTTTTAATCTATGTACCTTTAAACTCACACCCGAAATTATCATTATTTTCTAAAATATACATATGTATAATACAACGCAAAAACTATTTTTAAATACTAACCAGCCATCTAACACAATATTTTCATTGATTTTGTTTACTAAATCATTAAAATTTATTATTATGTCGTCACTATTTTCTATGGTTACCGGACAATTGGGGAAAATACTTGGAATAGCTTCTGGAATTAACCGAAGCCTTTTTAGCGTTTTTGGATAAAAACATGTTTTTTTTTTAAATGTAAATGGTAAACACCATTACTCTCAACAGGTTTCCAACTTTTTCTAGGAATAGTCTCAATCAATGCCTTCCTACAAATCTCCTCGTTAGGAAACTGAAAAACTGGAACATTTTTCTTTATTATATTTTTATTATGATTACGAGTATTTTTATAATTGCGAAACATAATGATATGAATATATTAAAAATCACTATAATGATAAAGCTTAAAATTTAATGTATAATTTTTTTTAAATTTATTTTAGAATAAACAAAATAAAAATTTTGCATAAAAACTTTATTTTTTTCTTAATAATATGCACAGCACAATGTTTTTTTTTATTCACTGTATAAAAAAAAATATTTTACCTTTGTAAAAATTCTGGAACGCTTTTAACTTCCATATTTCCTTAAAAATTCCTCTAGAAAGTTGATTTTTTCACCAGTTCAAAGCAAACATTTTAAATTTTCTTTTAATATAAAATTTTTATATTTTTAATGAAAATAACAGCACAAAAACTCGATTTAAAAATTAAAAATCTTAATTTTCTTCACTACTTTATACTGAAATTTTAAAACAACAAATTGATTTTAACTCTTGTTATGAACTAGTGCTTGTTGATGATGAGGACGACCTGACAGAGCATGTTATCCGCCACTGGTTGGGACATCGGCCACCAGCTACCCCAGTGTGCATCTAGCTGTGTCCCGGAGCTTCAGCCTGGGGTGGGTTAAATAGAAGTAGTAGGTTACCACCAATGGTTACATATCATATCCAGAAAAAAAAATTATGCACATGTTGAAATAAAAAATAAAAAAATTTAGTGCGATTGCAAAAATAAGTAAAGTTGATTTTAGCTGGAACACTTTGTAGTGAACCAGAACGTGAAGCATTGGTATAGGGTGCACCACACGGTACATTATTTATGCTGACAGGGTGAAGAATCACCACTGTCCCGAGCCCTACACTTCCATGAGTCTCCGATGTTGTTGAGACTCTCTAACTTTGCTCGAAAAACCCCTAAATTTTGGACATCCCAAAAGGAAATGGAATCACCACTTCATCACTATTCTAATTTGTACACTAATAAAAATAACCAAAGAAAAACATACTGAAATTGTTGGAAATGGGAAAAACTTAAGAGATAGAAAAAAAATGTTTATCCTTTTCCCACGTTTTTTTTTAGATATTTTTGATTTCGTCATTTGTACCTGGTATGTTACGTTTAGAATTTAACAAAATTTTTCTCCGGTTTAAATTTTTCATGTTTTATTTTTTTTTTGCTGTTATATGTGATTTACAATTCATTTTATTTTTGCTAATTTCTCCTTGTGATTACATGAATATATAATATAGCCTGCTTATACAATTAAAATAATACTTACATATTAGTAGATTTTAATTATTTCCCCCTTTTTCTCTTTTTTTACTCTTTTTATATATTTTGCAAAATTAATTTTAAACTTAATACTAATTATGTTTATTATGAAAATGGAAAAAGTAATTTAGTTTAAATATATTTTGATATACATACATACCAAAGGAATTATATGAAAAAAAATAAGTTATAATTATAATTAATAGAAATAATAATATAGCATAAAATGCTCTAAAATAAACTATTAATTTACCCTTACATATTATGTTTCGTAAATTATTTATTAATAAGGATTATAATGTTCTTAAGAATTATATTTAATAATAAAAAAAATGAATGCAAAAACTCGAAAATATATTTAATTAAAATTATAGTTAAAATCTTGAGTTGAAATTTGAATTTTTGATAAGACGTTCAAAAAACTCCAAATTTCATTTTTAGGTTTTAGTCAACTTTTCGTATAGAAAATTCGAAATGAAAATAGGCAAAAATCATAATTTTTACAAAAAACAAAAAAAAATGATTCTTCAAAAATGTCATTTCGCCAAAAATACATACGCAATTTTATTAACAATACAAAAAATCATTCTGTCAGCCATGTTATATATTCTACAAAATCTAAGATTTGATCTGAGTTTTAGCTTGTATCAGTAATTTGTAAATAGGTTGGTATTTTTCTGTGTATATTTTGAGTAAAACATAATCTTAAGGTTTTTTCCATAACCCTGTTTAATGTCTTTATATCTAACAAGTCCCAATACTCAATTTTTTTTACGAAATATTACGAATTTTTGGCTTCGTTGCTGGTTTTTTCTTTAAATGCCACTGATCGTGTCATATTTTTTTATTATTTTTTTCTTTTTTTTTAAGTAAAAAAGAGTTTAATATTTTAAAAAATCTCAGGATATTATACACATTTTTTAAAAAGCTTCCCATTTAAATTCTATTGCACGAAAAAGAAAGAAAGGTAGGAGGAAAGAAAAAATGAAAAAAAAAATTTCAAATTCATATTTCAATATGGTTTCAAATGTTAATGAGGAAGGATGTATGATTTTTTATGCACATTTTGTATTTCCCAATAAGGTAAGTTGAGTAGTGTCGGCCAACAAAAATGTTATTAAAAGTAACATAGGTTGACACATTTCAACAATTTGAATTATCTCATTTCGATTATTTATACGTTACTTATAAAATTGTTTCAAATAATTTCAGTTAGTTTTTAAGTTATTAAAAATAAATATGTATGTACCTACTTCCAATAAATTTTTTTTTAAATAATTATTTTAAAACTATTTCAAACATGTTATATTGAGTGCTTCAAAAATTTTGCTGTGCTCTTTTTTCATATTTTATTAGCAGGTAAACAAGAGCAATCTATTTATAAAATGTCCCTGCATGTGTATGTATGACCTATATTATTTCTAAACGGAAAGAATATTACATAAAGAACAAAAATTTTAAAATATCTGTTATTTTACAGTCGGAATTTTTTAGTCATTTGGTAAAATACCATTTATTTCAAAAATAAAAAAATATTCAAATCAGGTTATAAAAATATATCATTGTTTTTTCCAAACATTTTAGATATTTTTTTTTCTTAGGTAATTGATACAAATGATAGTAAGTTTTTAATATTTTTTCAAATAAAAATAGAGGTAAATATTATTCGTTAAATACAAATTTATATAAAATTTGTATTTAACGAATAATATTTGATTGTATTTTAGATATTATTTTCTAATTCCCTCTTCAAATTTTTTCTTTACTATGTATTCGTATCAATATTTAAGAATTATCTTTCATTAATTATATTTTCAACTTAACACCACAGTTACTCCCCATATCTTGAGTTAACTTACCCTATGAGAAAAAAAAGCTGTTCACTTAAAAATAATGAAATGCTTTCAGTAACATATAAAACGTTGAAGGCGAAGGTTGTGCTTGTTGTTTTTCCGCTTTTTTTTAAATTTTAAAATGATTATCAATGAAAATATTAATATATTTTTTTGATTTTTCAAATATATTTTCTAAATTTTACCTGCTTTATAATAAGTGTGAATTTATTTTAATATTTCTTCTTAAAAAATAGCCACTTCGATTTAAAAAAACCCATATAAAATAAGGTCGTGCTTTCAAGTTTCTCTCTGAGCATTGGGACTTGTTAGATATAAAGACATTATCTTTATACATTTTATACTTAATGAATATTTGCCTGCACATTATGTATAGTCTATAGCTATACCAACATTGCTTATCTATTTTTTGCTCTACAATTGTTTTTTTATTTGAATTTTATTTGAATTCTTAGTAAGAAGCAAAAGAAAAAAAGAAAGAGAACTTTATGGAATATGAAATGTGATTATTTATTATAGTACGAAAAACTCACAGAGTATAAATTATTTTTGTTAGTGTTTTTACATGTAATAATTTTTGTACAGCCAACACGCAAATTCTTGAACGTCAAAATTTTGTTTTCCGTCTGCAAACTGTCTGACGTATGAAACTTTTACGGACAGAAATGTAGTAAACTTTTTACCCGTAATTGACTTTGAATTTTGATCATACGTAAACGTCAAAACAAAAAAAAATTTTTTTTAGATTTAAAGTAATTTTATACTTACATATTAAAAATTAACAAAAAAAATATTTTTTATATTATTTTTAACGTAATGATATTCACTCAATACATCAAATTTATTTGCTGAATTACTACGTCAGACTGTCTGCATGTAAAAAAAAAATCTACAATTTTGAAAGTAAAAACGCAGTAGAGTATTCGTAAACTCAGACAACTCAGATTTTGTAAAATTTGACCTTTAAGAATTTACCCGATTATAAAAATTGAAAAAATTTGTTTTTTTGTTCGTGTTGAACTATTGATGAGTATTTAACGTCTTTGATCAGACACTGCACAAGTTTGCAATGATAGATTAAAAAGAACTACATAATACGATAAATTGAGTTAAGTAAAAATAACATGCAGGATTAAATAACTTAATGCTTAAGAAAACAATTAACTTATAACCATGAGACTTGAATAATTTTAGTTTCCTCAGATACCATTTTAATAATAGAATAGTAATATTTTTTTTCGTGTTGAATTGTTCAAAAATTTACTAATATAATATCTGATATCCAGAATATCAACATGATACTCGTATTCAGGTGTGGAAGCACGAAAAACGTACCAACAGTTTTCATAACTGTACGAATGTATGTTCGAAGGGTATACTAAATTTCGAAGGATATACTAAATGTAAAGTGTATGTTTTTGATCAGTATCCAATTCTGAGTCGACTTAGCTTTATCTGTCCGTCCGTCCGTCCCAGCGATAACTTAAAAACTAATTGAGCTAAGTTCACCAAATTTTCACAAATGATTTCTTGTAGTAAGTACCAGAACCCTATTTAAATTGGACATGATCGGGGTACTGATTCTGGTAGCTGCCATAAAACTTCAAAAGTTATTTGGCAATATCTCAGAAACTATAAAAGCAGTTATATTAAAATTTCATACTAGCGAATATATTAGTAGGGCTAATGTGTTTGATAAAAATCGTTGAAATTGTTTGGCTCCTTCTGGCAGCTGCCATACAACTTAAAAAGTTATTGGCCTATATCTCAGAAACTATAAAAGCTGTCATACTGAAATATCACACAAACGAATATATTAGTAGGACCAATGTGTTTGATAAATGTAGTTAAAATTGCTTGGCTCTTTCTGGTAGCAGCTATACGACTCGAAAAGTTATTTGGCATTATCTCAGAAATTATTGGGATTATAATATAGAAATCTCGTGAAAGCAAGTGCATTATTAGGGCCGTTATGTGTGATAAGAGTCATCGAAATTTCTTGACTCGTTGTGGTAGCAGCCATACAACTTCAATAATAGTTTGGCCATATCTTAAAAAATATTGAAAACACAGTACTGAAATTTTCCATAAATTAATATGGTAATACGACAACTTAAAGTAATGGTTCATCCCATAGTCAGCTATGGTATATTTATTCGCACATAGGATAACAAATTCGTACGGGTATCCAAGAGTTGGCACGGTCAACTCTATTTTTTCTCCTTTTTTTTATCGTTTTACCAATTACACATTTTTTTGAATGAAAACATAACAAACGAAAGGTTAAAGAATATAGCGGCTCAAACAGAAAAGCTAAACAAAATCCGTGCTGCCATTTGAAGTTGAGTTTTTTAGCACTTTTCCAAAAAATTTTTGAAAAAAAGTGCTTATTAGTTTTACTCTGTCCGTCCGTCTTTCTGTGTGTCTGTTTACAAAACTTCTACACCCTTGAAGATAGAATTCTAAAATTTTATATGTACATAGATCTTTACTAGAAACTAATTTTCGTAGAACATAATTTTTACCTATCTTCTCCCCTCTAAAAGTTATACCTCCTCAAAACCCTAAAAATGCCATTTTCAACTGTTTACTGTAGTTGAACCATATGCATTTTTCAAATTTTACAAAAGCAGAAAAGCAGTGGGAACCTTCTTATATCACGGCATACTATACTTGAACTTTAAAAAAACAAAATGGCTGTTAAAATTTACAGTTACATAAAATCAGTTTTTTTCAAATTTTTGATGTTGTTTTCCTTCTAGACCCAAGGATATGGGAGCCTGAAATTTTAGTAGCTTTTAGGCATTAACAAATAGTTCATTTTGTTGGAAGAAAATTTTTTTTCATCTCCACCCCCTCTCAAGTTATCGACTCTTGAAATTTGTAAAATTTAAAATTTTGATGCCTTATATTTCCGAAACCGCAAGCTTTTTCAAATTTTTATAAATGCAAAAAAGTAACGGTAAATTCCATGACATTAAAAAATATAATTATTTTTCTTAACTCACGCAATTAACCCTTAAAATTGAGCATTATATTAACCCCTCTTTAAATTAATTTTTGCTTTATTTTAAAAACTGCATAAACTGTTCATCCTATATATATGCAATCCCAGTAATAGTTTCATATATCCCTTTCAGACCCAAGTTAAGCGATTGTGTTAGGTGAATTCTAAGTTTTGTAAATGCGTATTTAAATAATTTTTTACATAAAAATCCAAATGCAGCGATTGTGTGATCTATCGTTTTGTGTTTAAAAAAAACAAAACAAGAAAAAATTAATTCTTTAGTATTTTGCATTCATTCCAGTGAGAGAAGTCATAGAGGACACAACGATGTCTTTAGGTATGTACATATTTTTTGCGTTTTAATTTTTTTTCTGCTTTTTTTTATAACATGTTTTTACATGTTAAATATTGTTCTTTCGTCTTGATATATAATTTTACAAGAATGTTGAGTTTGTTTGTGAAAAAAATTAAACTAAAAATTAGATAACACGATTGTGTAAGTTGGGCTTTCTTTTTTGTTATGAAATCGGACTCACGTTTGTGTTACCTTAATTATTTTAGTTGTTTCGAGCAATTTACAATAATTTTCTTACAAATTTAGGAAAAAAATACGACTTAAACAATGATAACGATGTTCAGAAAGTGTTAGAATTGTTACAAAATTCGGATGATGATTTTAGCGATGATGAAAATGACGAAAATGAAGTTTTTATCCAAAAAAATACAGTGGTTGAATTAATTCAAGAAATGGAAAGTGACGAAGAGGAAATTACAGGTATTAACTAGTTATTACATTAACGCTGGAAGTATAATTAGGTTTTAAATGCGCTCACCATATATTTTTTAATGACAATGGAATTAATATTACTTTTCAGAGATATCGGTTGAGCAACCTTCCCAACCATCGCAAAGAAGTAATTTATGGAAAGAAACATATTTCGGAAATTTAAGCAAAATTTTGTACTACACCTGTGATAATTTTTGCGAGTTAGGAAGTCCAATGACATATTTTAAAAAGTACTTCCCAGAAGAACATTATCAAACCGTAGTTTTTTTTACCAAAATGTACACTTTAAAACATTATGGTGTTGAGTCTGATACAACAGTAGAAGATATAAAAAAGTTTTACGGCTGTAATATAATTATGGGGTGCTTAGGATATCCCAGAGTTCGAATGTATTGGGCTGACGGATTCAGAAATGAATTAATTGCAACTAGCTTATCGAGAAATAAATTTTTCACTTTGAGAAATATCATACACTTTGTGGACACAGATAAGCCTAACGAAAAAAATAAATTATGGCGTATACAACCTGTAATAGATATAGTAAAAAAACGCTGTAATGAGCTTGCGACTGTTGTAGAAGCATACTCCATTGACGAACAAATGATTCCTTTCACTGGAAGATGTCCCGCTCGTCAGGTCATTAGATCGAAACCTCGCCCAGTTGGATTAAAAAACTTTGTTTGTGCTACCGCTGATGGATTAGTGGTAGATTTTGAAATCTTTCAGGGTGCAGGAACCTTTCCAGATTGCGGACTAGGTCACGGGCCATCTGTTGTTATATTTTTAACCAAATGTTTGCCAAAAGGTAGCCATTTATACTTCGATAGATTTTTCACCACAATACCGTTGTTAGAAAGGTTGAACGAAATAGGCTTTAAATCAACTGGAACAATTATGGCTAATCGTTTGGAAAAGCGACTTCATTTACCCTTGGATAGAGATATGAACAGAGGGGACATATCACAGTTTGTGAAAAATGACGAAGTTTCAGTTGTAAAGTGGTGTGATACCAAATGTGTTACAATTGCGTCCACCATATGTGGAAAAGACCCTGTCGGAGAAATTGATCGGTGGAATAGGAATTTAAAACGCCGTGTACCAGTGCCCATTCCAGCAGTAATTTTAGATTACAATGAAAACATGAACGGTGTTGATATATGCGACCAGATGATGGAATATTATCGCATTAAAATAAAAACTAAAAAGTGGCCAGTGAAAGTATTTTTTCACTTATTAGATTTAGCCATTCTCAATTCATGGACGGAATATAGGAAAGATGCACGCCGTCTTAAAATTCCTAAAAAACAAGTTAAAGATTTTTTGCAATTTAAAATTGAAATTGGTGAGGTAATGTGCAAAAGTATTAAAATTTTAGAAGCGCCGGAAGCATCCTGCAGTAAAATACCAGCAGAATATTATGGTTCAAAATACCGTCCACGTAATGCTCCTGAAGACATCAGGTTTGATCGTTTTGACCATTGGCCTCAATTCATTGACGGTACAGCCAAAAGATGCCGCAACACTGGATGTTCTAGTCGTTCGAGAGCCATATGCACAAAATGCAACGTATCCTTGTGCCTTACAAAAGACAAAGATTGCTTTGAAAAGTACCATTCAAAATAGACTGAATTATGCAAATAAATTGTGATTCAAATTTAGTATTTATAAGCTATGCCAAGAAATTTAATGTAATTCAACTGTGATTTGAAATTTAACTAGATGTAAAATATAAGTAATACCAAGAAGGTGCAAATTTTAAGTTAATAATATAAAGTTTTCTGTTTTTTTCTAATTTTTATTAAAATATACAGAATTGAATTAATAAAATAAAAATATTTGATTTTTCTCAAATTTCATATTATAATGTGGAAGAATTAATTAATATAATGAATAAGAATTAATTAATTGAATTAATTAATATAATTTAGTTCTACTACTACCAAGAAGGTTGAAATTTTTGTTATTATTTTTAATACATATGAATTAATATATTTTTGTTCATTTTTCATTTAGGTAAAAAATAAAGTTTATATTTAATCACTTTAATTTTAGTTTTTTGTTCGAAAAACTGTTAAATGATATTAAAAATCGTGGCCAATTACAGGTTTTTAATTCAATAAAATAGAGAATGTCCTTAGTACGGTTTTAGGCATAATAGCCCAACTTACACGATTGTGTTAGGTCCTTTTTTGACTATCCTGTAAGCAAATTTTATTTTAAACACAAATACAAAACTTTTTATCAAAAAATTTTATCAAAATGTTGGTTTTCACACAAATTATAACAAATTTAAAGCTTGGGTCTGAAAGAGATATGAATGAAAATCATTTTAATAGTGTGGTAGGTATACATCGATTGTTTTGCAAAGCAGTATTTTCACTTGTTGAAGGGGAAAGTGCTACAATACAAACCATTAGTTTGACCCAACTTTATTTTATATATATGTATGTACATACATTTTAACGTGGGTTTCATTCTTCGCTCATTTCAAAAATAGGAAAAATAGGAAATGTGAATTATTTTTTTAATAAAAAATTTATAAATTTTTCAACAATATATTTTTATTTTAGACATACATATATTTCTGCTGAATGAAAGATCGGTATACGTTGTTTTCCAATTTTACCACCATTGGATTCATCGTAGTCGATTTCATTTTTCACAACTATTTGAAGTAATTCTTAATATTGATTGCGGTATTGTTTAAAAAAAGCCAAAATCATGTTGGACCTGTAGTCCAAAGAAAAAGTGTATAATAGGTTGAAATTAAAATAATAATTAAGATAATGTAAAAATTCAATACACTATAATATTTTTTGGAAAAAAAGAACTGACAATTTACGATTTCACTGTCGAATGAAATAGTATTTTGCTTTTACTTCATTTAAATTGAAAATTTTCTGAAATTTAAATAATATAATACAACACATGTTTCCATACGTTGTTTTAAATGGTGACAAAAAAAGGCGTAATAATTTTTTCGTTTAATTAAAATTTACAACAGTTTATGAACGTTATACAAACACTGTTTCATTTTCCTTCATACAATGTTTTAATTTTTAATATTAAATTATTTTATTCATTAAGCCATAGAATTAAAACAGTGCAACAAAAGATTTACATGTTTTATTCTTTTAATGCAAAGAAAAAAAGTTAACGTGTAAATTTGATGCATATGAAGGCTTCTTACATAATTTTTTTTAAGTTCACCCGACAGTAGTGAAAATCAAATAGTAAAAAGTTTTTACTATTTATTAATTTTTTAATACTAAAAATAATCTTTAGTATTAAAAATTTAATAAATAGAAATAAATTTTTTTAATAAATAAAATCACAAAACAAATTAGTTGGAAAACAAAATTACGATAAAATGACGAAATGATATGAATAGATAAAAAATGACGGGATGAATAAGTTTAAAGAGTTGTCATAATCATTTTTATACAGATTTTTTTGTAGTCCCATATAATTAATAAGAATCGTCAGATGATGAGAAAGTTCACCTTCATCATGCGATGAAACCTAAAGTGATGAAAATTAAGAACTAAGTACAAAATCTGTTGAAGTCATAAGACATCATTAAAAGAAATTGGAAAATCAAGAATAGCAAGTTGCATCATACAACTTAACGTTGGTTTTAATAAAATTAGTTTAATTTTACTTAGGCATTTTCAAATCAGACTCTTCCTATCGAGTACGTCATTAGATTGCAGCGGCGAACAAAATCTAAATAAGTAATTTAAAAGATTAATGAAAGAATAAATGCAGTTCATCTTATATATTATAATTAAACACTTCATTTCAAGTCCAAGAAAGGCATTTCCATATATTTCCAAAGGAATCATCGACGATTTTATGAAAGCAAAACATAAAAATACTTACAGTTACTGAACTAAACTTTTCTGAATTCTATCTGTGATTTAAAATTCTTATTAGAAGTATTTAACCACGATTTGCACTATAACTCTAGTACGGCAAAAATCATTGTCATAAAATTAAAACCTTCAATGTCTCCTTCGTCGCGAATCCACCTTGCCGTGGTTAGGGCGCTTAATTAGGATTGCTTGCGGTCTGAAAACGAGGAGGTTCCCAAGGGCTTAGAGTACCGGCAATAGCCAATCTCTAATACGTCCCAGGGCATAGAGTAACAGTACAAGCTACTCTAATAGGTCCCAACTCCAAGCCAAGGTGAGACACGTGCGCCGAGGGCTGAATAGCCAAGAAGGTCAATACTTGGTCGCTAGCACGAAACTCGGTACACCGGGCTACCTCCGGTTTAAACAAATGCCTTGCCACGGTATGAGGCTCTACCGTGGACCTTCTTTTCTCATTTCAGTTCCTACAGTGTATGGATAATATAAAGCAAAAACTTAAGGGGGCTGTTAGTTTGAACGCACCAGAACCTAACAACGAGCAACCTTCGGGTTCTCAAATTTCAGAGTCTTCAGGCTCTAAAAAATTATCTAATGAGGGTTCTTCTATTTCAGGGCCTTGAGGCCTAAACACACTTTGCGCTATCGAAAGACGGGACGAGTTTTTGTCCGCTTCTGAAAGCACACCAAACTCTTCCGACTCTGAAGATCTGGCCCTAACTGCACTTTCTGTTCTGCAGATCTTTGAGATCGACTTTGTGATCTCCGGGTCCAGAAGTGCCTAAGTGGCGCAGCGAAGAGGCGTCTCAGACACCTTCTTCGTACGGGGCTGCCTCACGACAAGGCTCTCGAACTGGCTAAATTGAAAATCGCCGACAGAGCTCAAGAAGCTCTAAAACATAAATCTAAAAGGAGCTGGTCAGATGACAGCTTTCCAAAATGCAATCCCTTAAAAAGGGATAGGAAAAGTGGAAACACTGTTCCTGTGGCATCGGAGCCTTCGAAAACCGGCTTAAATCCATCTTTTACAGATATTGTTAAGGCCATAAATCTAGCCTTATTCGAGGATCAATATTCTCAAAAGAAATTGACCGAAGTTCATCTTCAACTGATTCAGGATTCAATCATGAATCTAAAAGTGGACCTCCTGCTGGACGGCATTTGTCCCTCTTTTCTGGGTAGTTGGAAAAGAGACGGATGGCTCAGCATTAATTGCACCGACGCTGAGACATCTACTAGGATTGGTAGTGTGTCCGCACTGCCAACATCGGAGAATATACCAACGACAAAATCGTTCGCAGGCTTAAAATCCAGAATTGAGATCTTTGGGATTCTGATCTAAGAATCCTTTCTCGGAAGGACAGAGAGAAAAATTTTCTGCAGGTCATCACCTCCGTTGACCAAAAAACTTCGGAGCTTCTGAAGCTCTAAAAGTTTAGGATGAACTGGCTTTTTGGAAACATCATCTTCAAGCGGAAGAAAGAGCCGGCTCATTTCGTAAGTCATGTAGCGAAGTCCTGCACGGACTCTAGGGGAGCTATACCATCATTCTCTACAGATTATGAGAACACGACCTTAAAGCCGACTAGCTTTACGAAGGTTGGATCCACGGCCCTAAAAAAGACCCCCGTTTACGTTGTAGCCAAACTTTCATTGCCTGGACCTAAAAACTTAGACAACTCCTCCGAGAAAACCTTGATGGTTTCTCTTGATGTGGTTAAGATTGTTGCGGCATTTACCTTTACGGTGAGATATGGCGGCGTCTCGGGTACTTTGGCCGCTAAGGCTTCGTTTGCGAGCGGTCGTGTAGATTCGAGTTCAATGGCTGTAGCAACTTCGGGTTCTTCGCGGCCCAAAACCAAAAAGCTATCTTAAAAACATGGCCTAGGCGGTCAAGGAAATAAAAAGAAAGACCTGAAAGAGCAGGGCTCCTAGGTGCTCTAAGTAAAAGACAAAAGGCGAGCAATCGCATGAGTACATCGACTATTCGATGTGTTCAGATTAATCTCCATAGATCAAAGGTAGCCTCTGCTGAATGCACAAAGCTCTCGCTTAGCAGTTGCTGGGACATTGTCTTCACCCCATTGGACTCATAACGGTAAAGTTAAACGCCTTCCAAATAACATTGAACAAACATTATAGATGCATTTATGATCTGAATACAGAGACCCAGGGCCGTAATCTTGGTCCGAAACGGTCTGAATGTGTTTTGCATAAATGAGCATATTTCACGAGACCTCACGACGGTCTTACTTACATTGAATCTTCCCGGTAGTGGAAAGATAAACATAAATTTAGCTTCGGCCTATTTTGCCTGTGAAATTGAAAGTCCCCCCCTTGGGTTGATGCGTTCGTTAATCACTGTAGGGTGGGTCGAACGAAGTTCATAATCGGATGCGACGCCAACGCCCATCACATCATGATTTTGCGAAGCTCCAAAACAAACGCCCGAGGTAAACAACTTCTCGAGTCCATTCGGCAATACGGTATGAATGTGGCAAATGTGGGTGCTAACCCACTTTCATAAATGCCATTCGACGCGAGGTACTGGATCTCACCTTGTCAAATGCGGAAATGATTCACTTTGTCTCCGGCTCCCATGTTTCGAGCGAGCCTTCTCTCTCGGACCATATATATATTAGGTTCGACATTGCGGTTCAGTGTAGCACGGAATCCTATATCAGGATACCTAAAAACACAAATTGGTCTTCCTTTAACGGGAGACCGGCAGTGCCGTTGCCAGTGTCCGGA